TATAGATGGAACGGATGTTTAACGATAGAGTTTCCAGGTAGAAAAGTTTTACCCCGTTATTCTTCTAAAATTCAACGTGACATTTAAGAGAAACTCATCGTTTGAACCTTTCTGAAAGTATTTAATAAAATTCATGTTTTTGAAGAAGAAAAAAGAATAAGTGTATTTGTTCATACCGTTCCAGCTTGTTCGAAGATTATTTTATCTTGATTATTGAATTTAACTGCTAAGTATATTTGCGCAAAAACGATGATAAACATAATCAATGTAAAGAAAATAACGATTAGCGTTAATTGCCAAGCAAGAATAAATCCTATTATGACACCTATGCTCAAATTTGCAATGCATTCAATTGCTGTTCCAAGTCGTGTACCAGTCGCCTTAATGATATAAGCATATTAACTATTGAACTAATGTCCATACCTTTCTACTACATACAACTTGAACTGCTGCTGCATCTGAAGTTAAACGAGTACATAATGTACCTGTACCGTTTTCACTTTGGTCGAAAAATGCTGCTTCTTGACAAAGAATTGTACCAAATGCTTTTGAGCGTATACGTTTTGTTAACGCTTCACCAGAAGATGCAAAACAAAAATGCTAAATAACGAAGACAAATAATCTGAATCTGGTTTTCACTGGGATATAGTTATAAGAAGTTGATATCCGGATCAAAGAATGCAACTGAAAGATGGAGATCATTATATTTAATCGAATACAACTATCACAATCGGTCGAATTCTTAAATAAGCAGCTTTAGAAAGCAGAAAATATTTTCCGTCATACTTCATTGAGCCACTGTCTGTGGCAAGATTCAAATAGATTGAGTTTATGAAGAACAAAACCTTCAAAAATAATTAAGGTTTTGATTTTTCTACATAATATGTAAGTTAAAATTGCCAATAATTGTCATTTGATAATTTTTGATAAAAATAGACGAATTTTAGTTACTTACTGCTTCAGTTTTCAAACGTTTCAAGTTCTTAAGAACCGGTTCGCAAATGTTCCAAGTATAGGTGAAAATACTAACGATATGGTTAAAAATTATTTTTCTTTTAATTGAATTGATTCCAAAAAGCATGCAGGACTAGTTTTAAAATCAAACTTTTGATCTTAGAACCTTAAAATAAGTATAAAATTAGCAAGTTTTTATGAAAGGTGTTGTCTTACATTGAATATTTTTGAATGTCGACTTTTTTCTTTCTGTTCTGTACTGGATATATTATTTATATCCTAACATACTTTTCTTTTGAAATATCCTAAATGTGACCATAACTAAAAACGACCTGCTGCTATCGAAGTGCACAAGAATCAAGTTTTTATGATTAGTTTTGATTGAGCCGTAAAGCTTTTAATGATAGGAGCAGCGGTTAAATTTTCGTGGTAAAACTTTATCGTCCAGTAACTCATAACTTCGCAAATACTTAACTGCTCTTTGAAAAAGTCTCGATATATCTAGTAAAGTATCCTTTACAATCTAAGAAAGTCTGAGAGCACAGTACGGTATCTTTCTCATAAATGGAAGTAACTTTTGAAACAACTTTTGAATGATTAGAAATGTCAAACCTTCAAAGCCAAAATATATGGTTTTATCTTACTTACCTTAAATATCGTTATGAAATTTACAATTCTTATACTCTGTCTATTGTTATGAATTGAAGAAACTACACGAAGTATCCACATTGAAAACTATTAACCTGCTGTGACAGATACAGGATAAGATCACACATACGGTTGTTATACAAATTTTCAATCGTTTAGTTTCGCTTTGCTTCTTCATGGGATATTTTATATCTCACATTGGGTTTATGTGCATCTGTTGGGGCCGGTTTAGCAAATACATTACTCTTTTTGTTTTGTGGTAATTTGGCGAATATATTTACGGCACAGGAGCTTGCTTACTGTCATCCTGATTTCAATCAGTTAAAGAAATCATGTCCAGACGATATAAAACTGAAGAATTTCAACTTTAGTAATTATCACATGTAAGCTCAATATATAATCATACATACTAAGAAATGAATAACACCATAATTAATTAAGATATTGCAATACCAATACTACGCAAATGAATGGATTATCAAGAGCTTATCTTATATTTATATATATAATAGGTAAAACTAATATGTTAAAGCATTTGCTCAGGAAAAGGCATACCTTGGCGAACAGAAAATATTGATTTCTTATTAATTTGTTTTTCTGGTTTTTTAGGACTTGGCTGTATTGCTGTTTTACTTGCATACGTGCAACACGTACTTCTTTCCATATCTGGTGAAAGACAAACATACCGTATACGTGAAGCTTTGTATCGTTCCATACTGCGTAAAGTACGTTTTGGTAATTCGACTGTTATGGCGTTTGTGTGTATGAGCAAAAATAATAATATGGACACAATTTTTAATTTAGAATGTTCCTTATTTTGATGTAAACAAAGCTGGAGAACTAAATACAGTACTATCTTGGTAAGAGAAACATGATATGATAAACGAAATATGATATCCTCACCCTCACAGCTCACCCTTTACGCGAAATTCATAGGACGTAATAACCTATATACGGCATGTTGTAAAATTAAATCATAGTGTTTAGACTCTAAACAATTTTGGTCAAGTTTAAATAAATTCAGAAAGAGTTTTTCCGATTATCCAAGCAGATTAGACAATGATATTATTCAAGCAATACAGATAGCGAAAACCACACATGTTTTCTCATTTCTTTGCCAGTTGTTACCAATCTGCTTCTTTTTATGTTACTAGCACCGCTATTACTAACTCACAGAACAGTGCGCCACCTTATTACATTCATTCCCGTTTATAGTTGTTAATGTGAACAGTACACTTAAGCAGTTAAAAAGCAAACAATTAGTAGAAATTGATGGCGTCTACATTAAGTTTTTAAAGTTATGCTCGGTATTTCTGTCGATATATCATAATTCCACCATCTTTTCTGTTTTTGTTTCTAAACTATGGAGGAAAGCGTTGACAGCTATCTACAAGAAAGGATCGTGTACTCAGTGTTCTAACTATCGGCCAATATCTCCGCTATCAAACACATGCAAAACATATGAGCTTTTAGTACATATATCCTTATTAAAGCATTAGGGTTTTTCTCTAAAGTACAATTTGTTTTTCGACCTAGCTTCTCTACAGTTGACGCTCTGCTGCATGTTATCATGCATTTAACAAAAATTTTAGGAAAGAGAAAGGTAGTACGGTAGGTGTTGCGTCCGATTTTGCAATTACTGGATAGATTACTGCAGCGTTACCGGTGAAATCCTGATATTTTTGGAAAAAATTGATCAAGTAGCGGAAAGTCTAAAGTTATAATTTCAGCCAAAAGTAGCACTGAGCAACATTCCTAATACCATTTAAAGAATTACCATTAAAAATAATAATACCTAGAATTTATGCCACTTGTGGCATCAACAATTTCCAACTGCTGTACTTGATCGAAAACAACTTCTAACAATTTTGTTTTGTTTTATTCTAGTAATATTGATAAAATTCATGAGGGAATTGGTTTTAAGTTAGGTTCAATGGCTATGGCAATAAGCATAGTCGTAACTGGATATATTATATCATTCACCAAAAGTTGGAAATTTACATTAATTCTTTTAACCTTTGTACCAATCACATTTGTTTCTTCAATTCTTTTATCATACGTGAGTATCTTACGAAACTCTTTTTGGCTAAAAACTCGCGATATATCGAAATAGAGTGGCAAATGTCATGAAATACCACATTAAGAACTTTATTGTAATACAGAAATTATTGAAACACACGGGTCTTGGAGCGTTGTACCGGTATAAATATTTAAAGGACTTTATTCTGACTAAACTGTTACAGCAATATGTACAATTTTTGTCTTAAAAATATTAAGTTAATCAATTTAGTGTCTTAAAAATTTGGTTCATAAGGGACGATCCGTAATAAAATCGAGCATAATTAAGAAAGTTCATAATATGTGAAAACAGATTCTTTTTAACTATGCTTGCTTGATTCTTTATTCAAATCACCTAATCTTTAGATTTTAGAAATGTTTCTCTCTCAATTTATAAGTGTTTTTTCAAAATAGGATTAAACGCTTTTCTGAAAAAATGGGGAATAACAACTCAAGTTCTTAGGCAAACAACCACTAGCAGTTTAGAAGCTCATTGTACTAAAAATTAAATATGATTTTAAATTATCCTAAATGTTAATTTTGACAAGTTGAGAAGCATCACATTTTGTTCAGTTTTTGCTGCTTTTTTGACTGATATATAGATCGAAGATCTAACATAAAGAGTTGATAAGAAATGATTAAACGAAAAGACTAGTTATTTTTGGGAAAGACTTTTACTCCCATTTTGAAAACATTTAAAACTTCAGAGAGAAACGTTTCTAAAGCCTAAAGATTAGCTGACTTTGAACAAAGAATCGAACGAGCACAATTAAAAAAATCTGTTTTTCACATATTATGAACTTTATCGAATACTTCATGAAATTATCTGGTCTGTAGCTTGTCAAAACACAGTGGTTGAATCGATGTTGGTTATACGAACAGAAATTTTGTTTTACGACCGCTTTTTTTGTTACAGAAAAGCTCAAGCCTTGGAAACTGAAACTGACACTCACTACGCGCGCAGTCCTCATGACTGCCTTTCTGTAACTTTCCTCTCAACACAGTTGAGAATATATAGGTAGAACATCATCGAAACAATTTCGGTGATAAACATTCTCACGTATTTAGAGAAAAGACAAAATATTTGTCAAAATTCTCTATGATTCATGCGAGTTTATTGCGGTTAAACGAAAGTTTCCAAGGCCTTAGCTTCTTTGTAACGAAAAAAGGTTGTAAAACAAAATTGTTGTTCGTACAAACAAGTCGAGTTTTAACACTGAGATGTTGGTTATCCTTTAAGGAGAACCTTGGCTGTTGTTGATTTGTTTTCTCATTGAACTTCCATTTGCCATGAAATTATATTGTCAGTCTACTGTTATTTCACATATTTCTTTTTGTTTAGTTAGTGGGCAAGTTTACAATTAAAGAACTAAAAGCTTATTCAAAAGCTGATTCCATTGCTCAAGAAGTATTTGGTTCTGTTCGCACAGTTTTTGCATATAATGGTGCTGGTTACGAACATCAAAGGTAATAAGCATTTGATAGTCTTATTCTCCTAAACAGTTGCTACTAGATTAAATACTGGATAGTCACCCCCATTTCTGTACCACATTGAGTATTTTTTTATTAGTAGAGATATGCTTAAAATCTTACCTCATATCCGATTTACAGAAGGCTTCTGTAAATTTTTAAACAGGGTGCAGTGGCGTAACTCGGATTTTTTGACCATTGAGTCAACTTCAGTAGTTCGTAAAAAAACGAATGGGCCACACTATAGTAGTTTAAGAAAAGGCTGGACCAATAAACCTTTTTCCAAAAAGTTTTAGCTATGGAAATCACAAAGTTCAAAAGCTTATTGGGTCAAGGCTCAAGTCGCATTGAACTACGATCCAATGTATCCCCGCTCCCAAATTATGCCGTTGACAAAGTACATCATATGCAACTTCAACTCAGTCTTGTTTATGTTCACAGAAAACTGAGCCTGAATTTTGCTGTTAGAGAACTAGATATTATTCAAAATTGTGCAAAATCAATTCTTGTAGATCCAGATTTACATTTTCAGATCTGTTTTTCTACCTGTTTCGACGCATGCAGCAGTTCTGGTTTACCAACACAAATACCTGATCTACTGATGTTTTAGTTTTGAGAAACATTGTAAAAGCTTACAGCTTAGCCTGTCATAAGTGAAGTTTTTGTTTCGCTCAAAATAGAGAGATTTCCAGTCTAATTCATTAATTTCCCTTCAATAGCATCAAGCCCATAAATACGACTAGGATACACAACAGTATAATGATCGAACTGTGCTTACGAGAGAAAGTTCCATGAAAAGATGTTTTAAAGAAATGACATGAGAATCAAAACTTTTATCTACTAATCAGCGCCTTATTGAACATTTTCTTCTATTGAAATTTCTTGAAATTCTTAAGTGTACAAAATGTGTGATCAAAAATCGATAGTACACCTAGCATCAACACATTTTGATTTTAAAGAAATTTTCCGGTTGTTTATTGAATAATTTTATAAATTCCTAAAATATAGGTTCCATTTCATTTGATTACATAATTCTTAATAGAACTCTTTTTATTAAAACAAGATATAGCAGCCATTTGGATGAAGCAAAAAAATTTGGAATAATAAAAGGAACAGTGTATGGTTTGTTCGTTGGTTTCACATGGTTCATATTTTTCTCCATATATGCATTTGGATTTTGGTATGCATTTAAAATAATCCAAGCAGATAACAATCAAACTATTGGCAATATTCTCGTTGTAAGCTGATATCATATATTTTATGAGACACTGGCTGATTTCTATACATGTTGCGGAAAATGACGACCTGATGGGACTAATGCGTTAGAAACTCAGTTAAAACTTTCGTATCTTGTTTGCCTTTTCATTTCTATTTTCATAGGTACTTATGTGCGTCATAGAAGGAATGTTGTGGCTAAATTCAACGTCAACTCAGTTTCAGATTATTGTAGAAGCTTGTGGTGCGGCAACGCAAGTCTGGCAAATCATTGATGAGGTACATTTTGCTAGTTTGGCGAAAACAGATTTTGCAAATGTTTTTTTCCCAGTTTTGCTTGTTTCATTTTTCAGTCCTGCAGCATTGTACGTATCTCTTTTTCTATTAGAACGTACAAATTCTAGATTATAAAGAATATATAAGAACGTTGGATACCAACAATGTTAGATACAACTACAATAAATTCTTTACGTTACATCCATTTGCAATAATGAAGGACGCACATTAAAAAGAAAAAATATGATGATATTGAAATACAGCTGAGATATCAATTTCGAGTACGAATGCAATCTCTGAATCTCTCTAAAAAGACATGATCTGTACATAACTCTATATTCGATTCATAAAGGATCATTTTATCTGTGCTGACGGCTACTTCGTCTCTCCAAAACTATGACACACAAATACTTGTGCTGATCTCCCGTGCTGGAAATTCTGGGCTGAGTTTTTCTCATATTTAATTTTTCAGTTTTGTTTGTTTTATAAGATAATATATCACTTGGTGTCTACCGTTTTTACATATTTTTTATAATTTATAATTTGTACGTTCTAATAGAAAAAGAGATATGTACAATGCTACAGGATTGAGAAATGAAACAAGCAAAAATGGGAAAATATTATTGTGCCAATTAAAGATAGATGCCGCAGAACTATGAAGTTGATGGGGCGATGAGTTTGAAAGGAATTTTCTCAAGAAAGTATACATAGATATTAAGCGGAGCGGCCGCAATCAGTAGCTCAAATATCTATGTTCCAATGCTAGTACAATTTATGGAGAAGTTAGTCAATTTAGCATTGTATGACTTTTTCTTTCTAGACAAGTCAGAATTCACCAAAGTCTAATCTTGATATTAAAGACATAGATTTAATCGGTGACATTGAATTTGACAATGTACATTTTAGTTATCCGTCAAGATTTGATGTAAAAGTATTAAACGGTCTAAGTTTCAGGATTAAAAGTGGTGAAACATTAGCTCTATTGGGAAGTAGTGGTTGTGGTAGGGTTTTAATATGCATGGTTTCTCGAAAATACTAAGATGAAAATATTAAGTTTTGTATGAATAGGTAAAAGTACAATTGTACAACTACTACTGCGGTTCTACGACCCACTGTCAGATGCAATTCAAATTGATGGACGTCCTATTTGTGACTATAACTTAAAATGGTTAAGAAGAAACATTGGTGTTGTCAATCAGGAACCGGTATGATTAACTATAAATCGATTTATTTTCTCCCAGTTAGGTTCAAAGTTCATATTTGAACTAATTATATAGTTTTATCGCACTTACCATCAAGGATGTGCGCTAATCGGTAAAAACCTTTTTCGCATCAACAGTGAGATGGAATTACCGAAAAACGAGATTATCGTAAAAAAGCTTTTACCGACGGTTCAGTAAATATTTTTTACTGAATTTTTCTCCGGTAAAGTTCTTTTACTGAACTTATTTCGGATATTTTGCTTTTATTTCTCATTCCGACCCTTATTTTCTTAAGCAAAACAGACTTCAAGCTCATTATGATAGTTGTCGGTATTCTACTATCAAACCTTAGTCACTTTTGTTTTGCTAGTCAGACTGACTAAGAACAAAATAAAATGGAAAAGAAAAGAATGTGTTGCATCAGTTTTTTCTTTCGTTTTCTATCATTAGGAATCGTTTTTCTTTCTAATGTTTGTCCAGTTTCATTCTAGAGTTGTTATCTTTGAGATTTTTTTGTCGCCGTTCCAGACGATAACTCTTACTTCTCTACAGGTTCTTTTTGGAACGACAATTTTGGAGAACATAAGATATGGTAATGATGATTCAACAATAGATGAAATAGTAGAAGCAGCTAAAAAGGCAAATGCACATGACTTTATAATGGAATTACCAGATGTAAGAAATATTTCTATGTTATTGAACTTTAAAATTGTTACTTGAGCTGATTATCATCAATTTAGAAATATGAAACATTAGTTGGAGAACGTGGTGCACAGTTATCAGGTGGTCAAAAACAGCGAGTTTGTATAGCCCGTGCATTAGTTAATAACCCGAAAATACTAATATTTGATGAAGCTTCCAGTGCATTAGATATTCGAAACGAAAAAATTGTACAAGATGCATTAGCGGAAGTGTGCAAGGGTAAAAAGATATTGTTATTTTCAGTGATAACTCATACAAAGACTCTTTTTAAGGCCGTACAACAATAATAATTGCTCATCGTTTATCAACCATACGTAATGCAAATAAAATATGCGTTATCGATAATGGTCGTGTAATAGAACAAGGTGATCATGAAACACTAATGATGAATAAGTATGGAAAATATTATTCACTACAACAATTACAACAATTAGAAAATATTAATAAGGACATAAATACAGAAGAACAAGAATTAGATGATGAAGTGATTGTAGACGGTTAGTACAACGTGAAGCAGCAAAAATGTCTTCATTTTCAATATTCGTTTTTGTAGATCGTCACAAAACTAGTACTTCAGATGCAATAGATGAAATACCTTCGAAGCCAAAAGTATGTTAAACTCGGATAAACACAAACTATGAGACTATATCCTTAGCTGAATTTCCTGTGGGCGTTCAAAAGAGTCCTTTGAGACTCCACTTCCATCTTGTCAGACGTCTTGAGCGATTTCAGCTTAGAAAAGCTACGAAAAAACAAATAAAAGAATACGAGAAGTTCTATTTGTCCATTGTTAGTTTCATCTACCTAAATAAGAACTATATTGATTTTTCTTAAGAGTTAGCAGCCTAGAGTGTTCACTTCAGAATAAGAGCCAATCACGACTATGATTTTGACCCCATGAACACTTTTGAGTTCCTGTAACGTTAAAATTCTTGGTTCTTTCAGTCTGCAGAATTTCTCGAACTCTTTTAATTCAAATGAACTTTCTGTAGAGTTAAGAACTGCAGGAGAAACGAAACTAGATATACAAACAAAACTATCAGTATCAAATAAAGTTCACAGATTACAGTCTACCATAGGACTGTAAAAATTACCGTTATTTCTTCGGCCGTTATCGACAACGGTAACTGTCTTTTCAGTTACCGTTGTTTTAACGATAACTATCAGTTAGTTAACCTTGTGGTAACTATTTTTTAAGTATGGCAGAGATATCCAGGCAGCGGCTTAAAATAGCTTCCAAATAGTAGCGTAACCAGGGGTGGGCTAGACCGGGCGCCGCTCAGCCACCGGCAGTCTTTGCTCGGGCACCGGGCGAAATAAAAAGTAATTATTTCCGATAAGATTTGTGTCAAATAATATTGAAATAACTATTATTTGTTTATTTATTTCATTTTCTTTTTCTCTTTTGTTCACATAATTTCACTTAATAAAAGTGCAGATACAGTGTATTGTCTCTCTCTTAAGAAAGTGAGAATTGAGCAACTG